AAAAAAAATCCGACCGACCGACCCAATTTTCAGATTCCATGTAATGCAAAACGAAAAATTAACTTTGCGTGGCCTAATCTAATTTCCAATTTTGCTTATATTATTTTATTAAAAAGTTTTGGTTTTTTTATAAATTATTATCTCTACTTAGTCTAACTAAGTATATAATATTGGTCATGATATCATGAAATTTTTTTTGTCGAAGCAAATGATTGGTTGACATGTGCCGTCTAGTGGCGCGTTTCAGCCAATCATTTGCTCTGACAGAACAAATTTTGCGATATTTATCAACGCATGACTCAATATTTGTGTTATCCGGCAAGTTATGATCATTATTCTCATATTGTATCTTAAAATAACAATAGTTAAAATTTGGCAATATATAATTTAATAAAAACGCTAATTCGTTATAATATAATTTTTATATTTTTAAAGAATATAAAACGCAGTTAACTTAACCTTTTACACAATTCTTTGCACAATTGTGATTTGAGATCGTTTTGTGCTTCTTCCACGAAGTACCAGCTTTTAGTTCTTTCTTTATGTTAACGCTGAAATTCGAATTACAGGTTCAACCACCTTAGATCTCTTATAAACTTCGTTTCTAATAAAACTTTAAATATTATGATTATTTTTTATTAAGTTAAAGGAATATAGATACAGTATTCGAAAGCTTTTTCTATAGCTTTCTTTTTGTATTAATAGATTTGATTTATAAAGTTTCAATCAATCACGGGAATAGAAAGTATTTTAAAGTATATAAAAAATAGGAGGCATATTTTACTCAATAAATTTTGTGTGCAGTATATGTAAAAGTACGTGCTTTTCAAATTACTGTGATCAACAAATTTACACCGGAAATCAGGAATCTAGAAAAAATGCCAATCTATGATTTGCTAAAAATTATTCTAATAATTTTTTGACCAATCATAGATTTGCATTTTTTTCTAGATTCCTGATTTCCGGTGTGATACGTGGAATTTGCTGATCACAGAATTTGAAAAGCACTGTAATGATATTTGTTGAGAATAAAAAAAAATTTATCTCGTAAAAAAAAATACAACTTGCAATTTTTTAAATACTGCGCTCAAATAAACAAAAACTGCAATTTTTTAAATATTGCGTAAACTTAGCAAAATCTATAACAGTCAAGGATCATTAAATTCAAGCACTCTACTGTTTAATTAGTTCTTTTTGAACCCATATTTATTTTATACTTTAATGTATTAATATAATATTACAAAGAATATTATAAATACTTATTACACGTAAAGTATTAAAAATTTAAAATGAATTCATGTAATATTAACGTAATATAAGTAAATCAAAATTATGTGATTTAGTGTGATTTGTTTAATCACATAATTTCCGTGTCCCTGTCGTCGATCCACCAACTAGTGGTGTGTAATATTAACGAGCTTTATTTTTTTTCAAATAAAAGAGTAGTCAGTTTAACAAAAGATCATTTCAAACAACTAATCTATAATATAGATAACTTCAGAAAGTGTCGCTCGTTTGTTTGTCAATTCTTCGATTTCATTAGATAATTCTACATTCTATATACATAGATATAGTAAGTATTCAATATACATTATATCTATTACCGTAAAAAACTTACCTGTTGCTGTATTAATTGTAGGTTATTTTCCAGCTCACTATTTCTGGTTGTAATTGCTTCGATTTCCTCAAAAAATTCTAAATTCTATAACAAAGTATTAAATACAGTGAATGTATTCAATATCACATCAAGCAAAAAAAACTCACGCGACGAATTAATACAGTATTTTCGCATTCAAGCAATTGTCGGCTTTCCGTGTAATAACCATCACCAGTATCGTGATCCTTTTTAATCGCGTGATATTTCGCACTTAAATCTTTATATTTTTCTCCTAATTCCGTTATCTTCTTATTTTTTTTATTAAGCTCGTTCATAAGCATCGTAATTTCCTCACGGAATCTAATGTTTAAATATAATCTAAAATTTACGGTAGTTCTTTATAACAGAGCTATTTAGTTTTAAAAAACTTACTTGCTAACAAGTGTTGCTACTTTTTTCTTTTCTTCTACAAGAAACAAACAATTAACATAAAGTTACTAAACGAATGATACAATAATGTTGCTATTAAGAGTACTTACCAAAAAAGCGTGCATTAGATTTGTAAAGGCGCAGAGGGGTCTAGCCAGAGTCGAAAGTGTTCTTGTATTACCAAGTAAAGGTATATGGATAGAATTGAGAGCTAGTTCTTTTTTAAAGTCGTTTAGATCAATGTGAATTCTTCTTCTGCAATCTACTTGTAAGTTGTAGAAGTGCTTTGTTGCATTAAAGTAGCAGTATTTATCATGGTAGTGATGATTTTTAAGGCTACAGCCCTGGCAAGCAATTATTGTATTATCCGGTTGTAAAATATAATGTCATGATTACGTGTGAAAGCAATGTTAGACGCTATGGTAATTTTGATATGAAACGCAGTTAATAATTCGTACCTGCAGCAACTTTATTATTCAAAATACTGTTGATATAGCGAATTTGCTTCTCATTAAATCCACTAATTTCCACTTTTAATAAGTAATACTATCACGACATTGCCTGACTTCACTAATCAGAGGATACCCGTATTCAATTAATGGTAGGTATTTATTTTCGGCAATTTCTAGCTTATTATAAATTTCATCAAGTTGTTCACACATATTATTTTTGAAACTGGAAGTATCGCTATCACTATCGCGTTAAATTTGTCTCGCGCTTTGATCAAGCCTAATTCCTCGTGCTGTTGTAATATGGATGTGTTGTAAGTGATTCTCTAGCTTTTCATACTTTACGAATGAATAATGACATTCGGGACTAGGACATTTGAACCGATGACTTGAAGTTTTTGTAACCATAAATTTTTTTAGTTCTTTTTAGAGGAGACATTTTTCAGAACGAAAATCACGAATTTCAAGAAAAAAAATCGTACCTAAATAAATAGGGGTTAATTTATAGTACTGCCAACCTCTGTACAAAAAGTTTTCTGACACGTGAATTTAGCCAATTAGATCAAATGATCAAGTGTAACGTGAAAATCACGTCTTTTAAAAAAATTGCCAATAACTCGAAATCTTGCCTATAAAACTGCCTTCTGCGTTCTAACAAAAAAAAATTCTTGTAAAATTTGGTATAAGCTAAGTTCTCTTTCGGCCTTATTCCTAACCCTAAATATGAAGCTTATTACTTTAAAATCTTTCGCTTAATTCGATTGTTTTGATTTTACGTTACACCTGATCCTTCGATCTAATTGGCTAAAAATCACGTTCCAGAAATTTTTTTGTGGGTGAATTACCAGCGAATATTCTACGGACAGAGCTTAGGGACAGAGCAGAATCATGTGATTAGTTAATTAGCGGTTAGGGACAGAGCAGGGACAGAGCAGGTTTTATAGTATCACATGATCCTGCTCTGTCCCTAAGCTCTGTCCGTAGAATTTCCGAATTACCAGACTCTAGTACTGCCTGATATGTCACATGTAAAATTTTAGTCATTGATCGACGCATCAAAATTTTATATGTAAAATTTAGGCAAATTTTGCTTTCTAGTCTTATTTAATAATTAAAAGGTTGTCAGATTAATTTCTAGGTATCATTTCGCAACTCACTAGCATTTTGAAGGTTCTTTTCATGAAATTTAAAAAAAAAATGGAAAAGAATGCGGATCCCGAAGTTTGCCAATTTTTTTACGATTTTTTGTTTTATAAGTGATGTACATCAGCATTGAAGAAGTTCGTTTTGATTGGCTAATATTAGATTGGCGACGATCATTTATTTATACAGTCAATTATAATTTTTAAAATACTTTTATTAGTAAAAATCGTCACGCCATATAAAAAA